ATTACACTTTATATACATCACAGAAGACTGAAATATAACAAAACCGTTTGACATAGAAACACCAGATTGTATTAATTAATTATGAAATGCAGTCTAGCCATGCGGCCACTAGAGGGCGGTGTGGTCATTTGACTGCAGGAAAGGGAGCTACACCATTTGGCGTTAAAGGTAGACAGCGAAATTACCTTCGAGATGCAAGACACAGTATCTGTGCATGTGCACGGGTTCGCTTCACACTGTTCAGAGCACCACGGGAGAAGTTGAGCCTCACGCTTCACGCTGTTCAGAGCACCACGGGAGAAGTTGAGCCTTACGCTTCACGCTGTTCAGAGCACCACGGGAGAAGTTGAGCCTTATGCTTCACGCTGTTCAGAGCACCACGGGAGAAGTTGAGCCTCACGCTTCACGCTGTTCAGAGCACCACGGGAGAAGTTGAGCCTTACGCTTCACGCTGTTCAGAGCACCACGGGAGAAGTTGAGCCTTACGCTTCACGCTGTTCAGAGCACAAAGGGAGAAGTTGAGCCTTACGCTTCACGCTGTTCAGAGCACAAAGGGAGAAGTTGAGCCTTACGCTTCACGCTGTTCAGAGCACCACGGGAGAAGTTGAGCCTTACGCTTCACGCTGTTCAGAGCACCACGGGAGAAGTTGAGCCTCACGCTTCACGCTGTTCAGAGCACCACGGGAGAAGTTGAGCCTTACGCTTCACGCTGTTCAGAGCACCACGGGAGAAGTTGAGCCTTACGCTTCAACGCTCTTAGTTGTTGTGGAAATGTACCCACTATGCTGTTTACTTTCTGCATCTACGTCATATTGCTGAGTCTACCTTTAATAAGGGACACATTAAAAGTTATTGTTTCAGACAGTTTAAACATGAACAATACATTTCCATTTTCCATTTTAGTCATTTAGCAGATGCTCTTATGTATGCCAATATGGACTATATCTACAGTATCATATGATAATAACCAATAGCGTATAGTGCTTATAAAATAACAGGAAACAGGACAAACTCCAAGCAGGGTTCACACCAGTACATGGTACATTCAGAGTTTGATGTGGTGAAAACACCAAAACACCCAACAACATTAAAGGTCAGAGTTTATTTCCTCTCCTCCTCCTTCATCTCCATTATTCCTGTTTTCAACATTTAGAGTCCATCATTAGCGCTTCAGAAGCCCAGCCCTTTTTACACATCATCATCCATGATGCCCCTCCCTCCTCTTCCTCCCCAAATGCCCTTCCTCCTGTATGAGCACATAGTGAACAACACAAAGATGCTCATTACCATGTGTGAACTGCTGGTGGCGTTCCAAACGGAACCCTATTCCCTATAAAGCCCTATAGGCTCTGGTCTAAAGTAGTGCACTATATAGGAAATAGGGTGCCATTTGGAACGTAGGCAGGGGTTATTTCAACATGAGTGGCCCGGGAGAAGCAGAGCATCAGAGGCGGTCCAAGGTAGGTGGGCCTGGCCAGCCGGCTGCCTTTATGGACACACTTTATGAGGACTTAACAAATGCAAGTTGACAGGCACAACATTCAGTGGACAGAGGGGGTCATGCTGGTACAGATGGTCCTCTGTTGAACGGTTAGTGCCTCACTATGCCGGGTAGTGGGTGGTCGCTGTCTCACTGATAGTCCGTTGACGTTGTATAAAAAGGGAAAATCTGCAGTTAAAACAACAACGAATGAGAGTATTTAGCAGTCACTTCTTCCAAACCTAGAAGGGACACCTTCTACATGTTATGCAGCGAAAACAGCCAAATATATCCAGTGAAACAAGCTGACGTTTTAGTTTCTGATGGTGAACGACAGTTGAATTAAGATAATGAGGTATTAGTAAGTTATATTCTTCAAGAATCAATGTCTAGATGTCGTTAATTGAAAAGTTCCCAAACATGTATCTACCAATGTTATTACACCTCACCCGGTTACAGACTGTACTCTGTTGAACGGTTGTTGGTGACACACTGGACTGGGTAGTCTTGGGTGGTCGCTGTCTCACTGACAGTCAGTTGAAGTGTTTTAGGGTGCGTCCCAAACAGCACCTTGTACCCTTTATAGTGAACTCCTTTGACAGGAGCCCTGTGGGCCCTGGAGGTGACATTTGGGATGCAGCCTTCAAGTTGTTTTGTTTCTGTGGTAATTGTAGGAATGTGAGGGAAGCTTGGCTGTGCTTGCCAGAGTTGAGGTAATGCGTGGCGGTGTTCAGATCCTCTCTCTGGGCTGATGAAAGAGAGTTAGAATGATGGGGATAATTACAACTGTCAGGGACTCTTCTGCAGTGAACTGGCACTGCGCCCCAAATGCCACCCTATTCTCTATACGGTGCACTACTTTCGACCAGAGCCCCCTGGTAGTGCACTAGGGTGGGATTTGGGACGCAGTCTGGGTTTAATCTGACTGGCTTCCTCTTTCACAGTGTTCTAGAACAGACCACCAACAGACCCTGGCCCTGGCCCTGGCCCTGACCCTCCTCTCCTCTCCTCTCCTCTCCTCTCCTCTCCTCTCCTCTCCTCTCCTCTCCTCTCCTCTCCTCTCCTCTCCTCTCCTCTCCTCTCCTCTCCTCTCCTCTCCTCTCCTCTCCTCTCCTCTCCTCTCCTCTAGACACATACGACACCTGTTCTCCACTGCATGTTTCTTCAATCAATCAAATTCAGATTTTTCAGAATTTGACTTCTTTGGGGGAAAAATACATCTAATAAAAACACTAAAACATGCAATATATACATATATATATTCAATCTATATGTTTTCATAGTTTGTTACAGTATGCCTACTCTATATGTTTCATAATTGCATTATACACGGTGGGTGCATGACTGTGTGCATCCAGCCGGGCATGGTGAGTATAGTTTTATTACACTAGGTGGCAACATTGATGTTAGTTACACTTGAAGAAAGACCACCAGTGGATTAGAACCTTGGGATCATTGCAGCAACATTCTTCTGGTATAAAGAACTACCAAACAGCTATAGGCCAATATTCAAAGCGATGCTCGTGTGTATATCTGACAGAATGAAGCTAGAACACATGTGGTAATAGAGAGCAGCTGATAAAGAGTCCTTGACCCATCCTTGAACCAAGCCTGTATCAGAGACCATGGAAACTATTAGGCTATATCCTAACATTTACATTTTAGTCATTTAGCAGACGCTCTTATCCAGAGCCACTTACAGTTAGTGAGTGCATACATTATTATTTTATTTTTTCATACCCCCTGTAGGAATCGAACCCACAACCCTGGCATTGCAAACACCATGCTCTACCAACTGAGCTACATCCCTGCCGGCCATTCCCTCCCCTACCCTGGACGACGCTGGGCCAATTGTGCACCGCCCCATGGGTCTCCCGGTCGCGGCCGGCTACGACAGAGCCTGGATTTGAACCAGGATCTCTAGTGGCACAGCTAGCACTGCGATGCAGTGCCTTAGACCACTGCGCCACTCGGTAATAAAGGGAAATAAAGGGGTTTGATTCAGAAATAGACACAAATATATATTTAGAAATAAACATAGGTCGTTCTTATTTATCAGTCTGTTTTGGGGTAAATTTTCCTCTCAGTTTCTGGTTGCAGTTTCTGGCGTCCATCATTTATTTCTGGTAGAGGTCTCTGTGGATGTCCATGCTAGGGATGGGCAATTGAAATGTTTTGACTGTTCGAGTACTCGCATTATTATTTTTTTGAGTACTCGTGTACTCGAATGGGAAAACTAAAATACAAATTTGAACACAAGGCCTGCACTGGAAAAAAATATGTGTGCATTTATCTATATGGCAACAGTGCACAACAATGCCTAATTTATCACAACCATTACAGATAACAAATCCTAATTGCTAAATTGTCCCATATACAATACCAGTCAAAAGTTTGGACATGCCTACTCATTCAAGGGTTCTTCTTTTTTTTAAACTATTTGTTACATTGTAGAATAATAGTGAAGACATCAGAACTATGAAATAACACATATGGAATCATGTAGTAACAAAAAAAGTGTTAAACAAATCAAAATCTATTTTATATTTGAAATTCTTCAAATAGCCACCCTTTGCCTTGATGACGATTCACGAGCAAGGATGTTTTTTTGCGGTCTGGAAGATGGCGATGGACGGTTTGGGTAAAGTGGACTCGGTCCGAGTGACCGGGTTGGGTAAAGTGGACTCGGTCGGAGTGACCAGGAGCGGTATGATGCAGATTTCGTGTGTTTCAACAGCGCAAAAGGAGAACGCTCTGTGGCTCAACAAGATGTCGACGTATGATGTGGAAAGCTCTGACTTTCAGAGTAGGGCACCAGTTAAAGATGTACTCTCTGGTGTTTCGTACAGAGTAGGGCACCAGTTAAAGATGTACTCTCTGGTGTTTCGTACAGAGTAGGGCACCAGTTAAAGATGTACTCTCTGGTGTTTCGTACAGAGTAGGGCACGGGTTAAAGATGTACTCTCTGGTGTTTCGTACAGAGCAGGGCACCGGTTAAAGATGTACTCTGTGGTGTTTCGTACAGAGCAGGGCACCGGTTAAAGATGTACTCTGTGGTGTTTCGTACAGAGTAGGGCACCGGTTAAAGATGTACTCTGTGGTGTTTCGTACAGAGTAGGGCTCCGGTTAAAGATGTACTCTGTGGTGTTTCGTACAGAGTAGGGCTCCGGTTAAAGATGTACTCTGTGGTGTTTCGTACAGAGCAGGGCACCGGTTAAAGATGTACTCTCTGGTGTTTCGTACAGAGCAGGGCTCCGGTTAAAGATGTACTCTGTGGTGTTTCGTACAGAGCAGGGCACCGGTTAAAGATGTACTCTCTGGTGTTTCGTACAGAGCAGGGCTCCGGTTAAAGATGTACTCTGTGGTGTTTCGTACAGAGCAGGGCTCCGGTTAAAGATGTACTCTCTGGTGTTTCGTACAGAGTAGGGCTCCGGTTAAAGATGTACTCTCTGGTGTTTCGTACAGAGCAGGGCTCCGGTTAAAGATGTACTCTGTGGTGTTTCGTACAGTAGGTGGCGGTAATACACCTTATGAGTGTGTCAATAAACCTCAGAGAAGAAGAAGAGCCGGAGGAAGCTACTTCCGAACACATCCTCCAGATGGACAGCTGACTGCACATCTTTTATCAAGGGATTTGAGACATTTCCAGCGAAATATGATTAAAGCTATTTTAATCTTTAACAACCATGGGAAACCACGACTCATCAGATTTTATGAATATTTTGTAAGTACCCAAATGTACGAACTGCTAACGTTTGTTAGATAGCCAGCTAGCCATCCGTTTATCTTATTTGCCAGCTGTTAGTGCACTAATGCTATGCTAGCTAAATTGTATAGCTAGAGGCTAATTAATCAATAATCTATTTTGTCATCATCATGAGATGTGATTTTATTGCCATTTATATAGTTAACTAGCTACGTTGATTTATATATTTGGACATAGCTACAAATATCAATGTGCACAACAGATGGGCAACCTTGGGGCTAGTTTGCAACGTCAGCTGTTTTACTGCTAGCTGTTAGCTAGCTAGCTCTTGAATTTCGATTTCAATTAAGTTCTTAGCCAATTATCATAGACATATTTCTTCTCAGGCCGAAGATCTGCAGCAGCAGATAATTCGAGAGACTTTCCATCTGGTGTCGAAGAGGGATGACAACGTCTGCAACTTCTTGGAGGGGGGAAGGTAAAAGCTATTGTTAGTATTACTAGCTGGTTAAATTAACCAAAATATACATTGTTGATGAACAATGAACAAATCAAAAAATGCATTGTTGTCTGCAAAGCAAATAAACCTAAATCGTTTAGGATTCAATAAAGCATCCAGGCGGTAGCTATGGTTTGTATTGGGGACTGGTACTGTGCTTCTGTGATGACTTCATGATGTAGTTTTATCTGGGGTTGTTAAATGAGAAGTATTGTTTGACAGAAGTGTGCAGCTCATATGACCAGCAATCAATCATCAGTTCCCTGGCAGATGAGTTACGGTTGGACCAAATCAGACAATGCAGGATAGGCTAATAATATTATTTCTCTATTTGCAGTTTGATCGGCGGCTCGGACTACAAGTTGATCTACCGGCACTATGCTACGCTGTACTTTGTGTTCTGTGTGGACTCCTCTGAGAGTGAGCTCGGTATTCTGGATCTAATACAGGTGGGTTGGCAACTGTTGCTGAGTTGGTGTGTTACCATCTATAACTCTGTTGAACAGTAGGGTTGTATGGTGTCCACTCACCTCTCCTTTCCCAGACAGTCAGCTGGACGGTCCACTCACCTCTCCTTTCCCAGTCAGTCAGCTGGACGGTCCACTCACCTCTCCTTTCCCAGACAGTCAGCTGGACGGTCCACTCACCTCTCCTTTCCCAGTCAGTCAGCTGGACGGTCCACTCACCTCTCCTTTCCCAGACAGTCAGCTGGACGGTCCACTCACCTCTCCTTTCCCAGACAGTCAGCTGGACGGTCCACTCACCTCTCCTTTCCCAGACAGTCAGTCAGCTGGACGGTCCACTCACCTCTCCTTTCCCAGTCAGACAGACAGTCAGCTGGACGGTCCACTCACCTCTCCTTTCCCAGACAGTCAGCTGGACGGTCCACTCACCTCTCCTTTCCCAGACAGTCAGCTGGACGGTCCACTCACCTCTCCTTTCCCAGACAGACAGTCAGCTGGACGGTCCACTCACCTCTCCTTTCCCAGACAGTCAGCTGGACGGTCCACTCACCTCTCCTTTCCCAGTCAGTCAGTCAGCTGGACGGTCCACTCACCTCTCCTTCCCAGACAGACAGTCAGCTGGACGGTCCACTCACCTCTCCTTTCCCAGACAGACAGTCAGCTGGACGGTCCACTCACCTCTCCTTTCCCAGACAGTCAGCTGGACGGTCCACTCACCTCTCCTTTCCCAGACAGACAGTCAGCTGGACGGTCCACTCACCTCTCCTTTCCCAGACAGTCAGTCAGCTGGACGGTCCACTCACCTCTCCTTTCCCAGACAGTCAGCTGGACGGTCCACTCACCTCTCCTTTCCCAGTCAGTCAGTCAGCTGGACGGTCCACTCACCTCTCCTTTCCCAGACAGACAGTCAGCTGGACGGTCCACTCACCTCTCCTTTCCCAGACAGTCAGCTGGACGGTCCACTCACCTCTCCTTTCCCAGTCAGTCAGCTGGACGGTCCACTCACCTCTCCTTTCCCAGACAGACAGCTGGACGGTCCACTCACCTCTCCTTTCCCAGACAGTCAGCTGGACGGTCCACTCACCTCTCCTTTCCCAGTCAGTCAGCTGGACGGTCCACTCACCTCTCCTTTCCCAGACAGTCAGTCAGCTGGACGGTCCACTCACCTCTCCTTTCCCAGACAGACAGTCAGCTGGACGGTCCACTCACCTCTCCTTTCCCAGACAGTCAGCTGGACGGTCCACTCACCTCTCCTTTCCCAGACAGACAGTCAGCTGGACGGTCCACTCACCTCTCCTTTCCCAGACAGTCAGCTGGACGGTCCACTCACCTCTCCTTTCCCAGACAGTCAGTCAGCTGGACGGTCCACTCACCTCTCCTTTCCCAGACAGTCAGTCAGCTGGACGGTCCACTCACCTCTCCTTTCCCAGTCAGTCAGCTGGACGGTCCACTCACCTCTCCTTTCCCAGACAGTCAGCTGGACGGTCCACTCACCTCTCCTTTCCCAGACAGACAGTCAGCTGGACGGTCCACTCACCTCTCCTTTCCCAGTCAGTCAGCTGGACGGTCCACTCACCTCTCCTTTCCCAGTCAGTCAGCTGGACGGTCCACTCACCTCTCCTTTCCCAGACAGACAGTCAGCTGGACGGTCCACTCGCCTCTCCTTTCCCAGACAGACAGTCAGCTGGACGGTCCACTCACCTCTCCTTTCCCAGACAGTCAGTCAGTTGGACGGTCCACTCACCTCTCCTTTCCCAGTCAGTCAGCTGGACGGTCCACTCACCTCTCCTTTCCCAGACAGTCAGCTGGACGGTCCACTCACCTCTCCTTTCCCAGACGGTCAGCTGGACGGTCCACTCACCTCTCCTTTCCCAGACAGACAGCTGGACGGTCCACTCACCTCTCCTTTCCCAGACAGACAGCTGGACGGTCCACTCACCTCTCCTTTCCCAGACAGACAGTCAGCTGGACGGTCCACTCACCTCTCCTTTCCCAGACAGTCAGCTGGACGGTCCACTCACCTCTCCTTTCCCAGACAGTCAGCTGGACGGTCCACTCACCTCTCCTTTCCCAGACAGTCAGACAGCTGGACGGTCCACTCACCTCTCCTTTCCCAGTCAGACAGACAGTCAGCTGGACGGTCCACTCACCTCTCCTTTCCCAGACAGTCAGCTGGACGGTCCACTCACCTCTCCTTTCCCAGACAGTCAGACAGCTGGACGGTCCACTCACCTCTCCTTCCCAGACAGTCAGCTGGACGGTCCACTCACCTCTCCTTTCCCAGACAGTCAGCTGGACGGTCCACTCACCTCTCCTTTCCCAGACAGTCAGCTGGACGGTCCACTCACCTCTCCTTTCCCAGACAGACAGTCAGCTGGACGGTCCACTCACCTCTCCTTTCCCAGACAGACAGTCAGCTGGACGGTCCACTCACCTCTCCTTTCCCAGACAGTCAGACAGCTGGACGGTCCACTCACCTCTCCTTTCCCAGACAGTCAGCTGGACGGTCCACTCACCTCTCCTTTCCCAGACAGTCAGCTGGACGGTCCACTCACCTCTCCTTTCCCAGACAGTCAGCTGGACGGTCCACTCACCTCTCCTTTCCCAGACAGTCAGCTGGACGGTCCACTCACCTCTCCTTTCCCAGACAGACAGTCAGCTGGACGGTCCACTCACCTCTCCTTTCCCAGACAGTCAGCTGGACGGTCCACTCACTCTCCTTTCCCAGACGTCAGACAGCTGGACGGTCCACTCACCTCTCCTTTACCAGACAGTCAGCTGGACGGTCCACTCACCTCTCCTTTCCCAGACAGACAGTCAGCTGGACGGTCCACTCACCTCTCCTTTCCCAGACAGACAGTCAGCTGGACGGTCCACTCACCTCTCCTTCCCCAGACAGACAGTCAGCTGGACGGTCCACTCACCTCTCCTTTCCCAGTCAGTCAGCTGGACGGTCCACTCACCTCTCCTTTCCCAGACAGTCAGCTGGACGGTCCACTCACCTCTCCTTTCCCCAGACAGTCAGCTGGACGGTCCACTCACCTCTCCTTTCCCAGACAGTCAGCTGGACGGTCCACTCACCTCTCCTTTCCCAGACAGTCAGCTGGACGGTCCACTCACCTCTCCTTTCCCAGTCAGTCAGCTGGACGGTCCACTCACCTCTCCTTTCCCAGACAGACAGCTGGACGGTCCACTCACCTCTCCTTTCCCAGTCAGTCAGCTGGACGGTCCACTCACCTCTCCTTTCCCAGACGACAGTCAGCTGGACGGTCCACTCACCTCTCCCTTTCCCAGTCAGTCAGCTGGACGGTCCACCCTCACCTCTCCTTTCCCAGACAGACAGTCAGCTGGACGGTCCCACTCACCTCTCCTTTCCCAGACAGTCAGCTGGACGGTCCACTCACCTCTCCTTTCCCAGACAGACAGTCAGCTGGACGGTCCCACTCACCTCTCCTTTCCCAGACAGACAGTCAGCTGGACGGTCCACTCACCTCTCCTTTCCCAGACAGTCAGCTGGACGGTCCACTCAACCTCTCCTTTCCCAGTCAGTCAGCTGGACGGTCCACTCACCTCTCCTTTCCCAGACAGTCAGTCAGCTGGACGGTCCACTCACCTCTCCTTTCCCAGACAGACAGTCAGCTGGACGGTCCACTCACCTCTCCTTTCCCAGACAGACAGTCAGCTGGACGGTCCACTCACCTCTCCTTTCCCAGTCAGTCAGCTGGACGGTCCACTCACCTCTCCTTTCCCAGTCAGTCAGCTGGACGGTCCTCTCACCTCTCCTTTCCCAGACAGTCAGCTGGACGGTCCACTCACCTCTCCTTTCCCAGTCAGTCAGCTGGACGGTCCATTCACCTCTCCTTTCCCAGACAGACAGTCAGCTGGACGGTCCACTCATCTCTCCTTTCCCAGACAGTCAGCTGGACGGTCCACTCACCTCTCCTTTCCCAGTCAGTCAGTCAGCTGGACGGTCCACTCACCTCTCCTTTCCCAGACAGACAGTCAGCTGGACGGTCCACTCACCTCTCCTTTCCCAGTCAGTCAGCTGGACGTCCACTCACCTCTCCTTTCCCAGACAGACAGTCAGCTGGACGGTCCACTCACCTCTCCTTTCCCAGACAGTCAGCTGGACGGTCCACTCACCTCTCCTTTCCCAGACAGACAGTCAGCTGGACGGTCCACTCACCTCTCCTTTCCCAGACAGACAGTCAGCTGGACGGTCCACTCACCTCTCCTTTCCCAGACAGACAGTCAGCTGGACGGTCCACTCACCTCTCCTTTCCCAGACAGTCAGTCAGCTGGACGGTCCACTCACCTCTCCTTTCCCAGACAGACAGTCAGCTGGACGGTCCACTCACCTCTCCTTTCCCAGACAGACAGTCAGCTGGACGGTCCACTCACCTCTCCTTTCCCAGACAGACAGTCAGCTGGACGGTCCACTCACCTCTCCTTTCCCAGTCAGACAGTCAGCTGGACGGTCCACTCACCTCTCCTTTCCCAGTCAGACAGTCAGCTGGACGGTCCACTCACCTCTCCTTTCCCAGACAGTCAGCTGGACGGTCCACTCACCTCTCCTTTCCCAGTCAGTCAGCTGGACGGTCCACTCACCTCTCCTTTCCCAGACAGACAGTCAGCTGGACGGTCCTCTCACCTCTCCTTTCCCAGACAGTAAGCTGGACGGTCCACTCACCTCTCCTTTCCCAGACAGTCAGCTGGACGGTCCTCTCACCTCTCCTTTCCCAGACAGACAGTCAGCTGGACGGTCCACTCACCTCTCCTTTCCCAGACAGTCAGCTGGACGGTCCCACTCACCTCTCCTTTCCCAGACAGACAGTCAGCTGGACGGTCCACTCACCTCTCCTTTCCCAGACAGACAGTCAGCTGGACGGTCCACTCACCTCTCCTTTCCCAGACAGACAGTCAGCTGGATGGTCCACTCACCTCTCCTTTCCCCAGACAGTCAGCTGGACGGTCACTCACCTCTCCTTTCCCAGTCAGTCAGCTGGACGGTCCACTCACCTCTCCTTTCCCAGACAGTCAGCTGGACGGTCCACTCACCTCTCCTTTCCCAGACAGTCAGCTGGACGGTCCACTCACCTCTCCTTTCCCAGACAGTCAGCTGGACGGTCCACTCACCTCTCCTTTCCCAGTCAGTCAGCTGGACGGTCCACTCACCTCTCCTTTCCCAGACAGTCAGCTGGACGGTCCACTCACCTCTCCTTCCCAGGACAAGGGTCACCCTTAGTAAGCTGGACGGTCCACTCACCTTCCTTTCCCAGTCAGTCAGCTGGACGGTCCACTCACCTCTCCTTTCCCAGACAGTCAGCTGGACGGTCCACTCACCTCTCCTTTCCCAGACAGACAGTCAGCTGGACGGTCCACTCACCTCTCCTTTCCCAGACAGTCAGCTGGATGGTCCACTCACCTCTCCTTTCCCAGACAGTCAGCTGGACGGTCCACTCACCTCTCCTTTCCCAGACAGTCAGCTGGACGGTCCACTCACCTCTCCTTTCCCAGACAGTCAGCTGGACGGTCCACTCACCTCTCCTTTCCCAGACAGTCAGCTGGATGGTCCACTCACCTCTCCTTTCCCAGACAGCCAGCTGGATGGTCCACTCACCTCTCCTTTCCCAGACAGTCAGCTGGACGGTCCACTCACCTCTCCTTTCCCAGACAGTCAGCTGGACGGTCCACTCACCTCTCCTTTCCCAGACAGACAGTCAGCTGGACAGTCCACTCACCTCTCCTTTCCCAGTCAGTCAGCTGGACGGTCCACTCACCTCTCCTTTCCCAGTCAGTCAGCTGGACGGTCCACTCACCTCTCCTTTTCCAGACAGTCAGCTGGACGGTCCACTCACCTCTCCTTTCCCAGACAGACAGTCAGCTGGACGGTCCACTCACCTCTCCTTTCCCAGACAGTCAGCTGGACGGTCCACTCACCTCTCCTTTCCCAGACAGACAGTCAGCTGGACGGTCCACTCACCTCTCCTTTCCCAGACAGACAGTCAGCTGGACGGTCCACTCACCTCTCCTTTCCCAGTCAGTCAGCTGGACTGTCCACTCACCTCTCCTTTCCCAGACAGTCAGCTGGACGGTCCACTCACCTCTCCTTTCCCAGACAGACAGTCAGCTGGACGGTCCACTCACCTCTCCTTTCCCAGTCAGTCAGCTGGACGGTCCACTCACCTCTCCTTTCCCAGACAGTCAGCTGGACGGTCCACTCAACTCTCCTTTCCCAGTCAGTCAGCTGGACGGTCCACTCACTCTCCTTTCCCAGTCAGTCAGCTGGACGGTCCACTCACCTCTCCTTTCCCAGTCAGTCAGCTGGACGGTCCACTCACCTCTCCTTTCCCAGACAGTCAGCTGGACGGTCCACTCACCTCTCCTTTCCCAGACAGACAGTCAGCTGGACGGTCCACTCACCTCTCCTTTCCCAGACAGACAGTCAGCTGGACGGTCCACTCACCTCTCCTTTCCCAGACAGACAGTCAGCTGGACGGTCCACTCACCTCTCCTTTCCCAGACAGACAGTCAGCTGGACGGTCCACTCACCTCTCCTTTCCCAGACAGACAGTCAGCTGGACGGTCCACTCACCTCTCCTTTCCCAGACAGTCAGCTGGACTGTCCACTCACCTCTCCTTTCCCAGACAGTCAGCTGGACTGTCCACTCACCTCTCCTTTCCCAGACAGTCAGCTGGACGGTCCACTCACCTCTCCTTTCCCAGACAGTCAGCTGGACGGTCCACTCACCTCTCCTTTCCCAGACAGACAGTCAGCTGGACGGTCCACTCACCTCTCCTTTCCAGACAGTCAGTCAGCTGGACGGTTCCACTCACCTCTCCTTTCCCAGTCAGTCAGCTGGACGGTCCACTCACCTCTCCTTTCCCAGTCAGTCAGCTGGACGGTCCACTCACCTCTCCTTCCCAGACAGTCAGTCAGCTGGACGGTCACTCACCCCTCTCCTTTCCCAGACAGACAGTCAGCTGGACGGTCCACTCACCTCTCCTTTCCCAGTCAGTCAGTCAGCTGGACTGTCCACTCACCTCTCCTTGCCCAGACAGTCAGCTGGACGGTCCACTCACCTCTCCTTTCCCAGACAGTCAGTCAGCTGGACGGTCCACTCACCTCTCCTTTCCCAGTCAGTCAGCTGGACGGCCCACTCACCTCTCCTTTCCCAGACAGGCAGCTGGACGGTCCACTCACCTCTCCTTCCCAGTCAGTCAGCTGGACGGCCCACTCACCTCTCCTTTCCAGACAGTCAGCTGGACGGTCCACTCACCTCTCCTTTCCCAGACAGGACAGTCAGCTGGACGGTCCACTCACCTCTCCTTCCCAGTCAGTCAGCTGGACGGTCCACTCACCTCTCCTTACCCAGTCCAGTCAGCTGGACGGTCCACTCACCTCTCCTTTTCCCAGACAGTCAGTCAGCTGGACGGTCCACTCACCTCTCCTTTCCCAGACAGTCAGTCAGCTGGACGGTCCACTCACCTCTCCTTTCCCAGACAGTCAGTCATGGACGGTCCACTCACCTCTCCTTTCCCAGACAGACAGTCAGCTGGACGGTCCACTCACCTCTCCTTTCCCAGTCAGTCAGTCAGCTGGACTGTCCACTCACCTCTCCTTTCCCAGACAGTCAGCTGGACGGTCCACTCACCTCTCCTTTCCCAGACAGTCAGTCAGCTGGACGGTCCACTCACCTCTCCTTTCCCAGTCAGTCAGCTGGACGGCCCACTCACCTCTCCTTTCCCAGACAGGCAGCTGGACGGTCCACTCACCTCTCCTTTCCCAGTCAGTCAGCTGGACGGCCCACTCACCTCTCCTTTCCCAGACAGTCAGCTGGACGGTCCACTCACCTCTCCTTTCCCAGACAGTCAGCTGGACGGTCCACTCACCTCTCCTTTCCCAGACAGACAGTCAGCTGGACGGTCCACTCACCTCTCCTTTCCCAGTCAGTCAGCTGGATGGTCCACTCACCTCTCCTTTCCCAGTCAGTCAGCTGGACGGTCCACTCACCTCTCCTTTCCCAGTCAGTCAGCTGGACGGTCCACTCACCTCTCCTTTTCCAGACAGTCAGCTGGACGGTCCACTCACCTCTCCTTTCCCAGACAGACAGTCAGCTGGACGGTCCACTCACCTCTCCTTTCCCAGACAGTCAGCTGGACGGTCCACTCACCTCTCCTTTCCCAGACAGACAGTCAGCTGGACGGTCCACTCACCTCTCCTTTCCCAGACAGACAGTCAGCTGGACGGTCCACTCACCTCTCTTTTCCCAGTCAGTCAGCTGGACTGTCCACTCACCTCTCCTTTCCCAGACAGTCAGCTGGACGGTCCACTCACCTCTCCTTTCCCAGACAGACAGTCAGCTGGACGGTCCACTCACCTCTCCTTTCCCAGACAGACAGTCAGCTGGACGGTCCACTCACCTCTCCTTTCCCAGACAGTCAGCTGGACGGTCCACTCAACTCTCCTTTCCCAGTCAGTCAGCTGGACGGTCCACTCACCTCTCCTTTCCCAGTCAGTCAGCTGGACGGTCCACTCACCTCTCCTTTCCCAGTCAGTCAGCTGGACGGTCCACTCACCTCTCCTTTCCCAGTCAGTCAGCTGGACGGTCCACTCACCTCTCCTTTCCCAGACAGTCAGCTGGACGGTCCACTCACCTCTCCTTTCCCAGACAGACGTCAGCTGGACGGTCCACTCACCTCTCCTTTCCCAGACAGACAGTCAGCTGGACGGTCCACTCACCTCTCCTTTCCCAGACAGACAGTCAGCTGGACGGTCCACTCACCTCTCCTTTCCCAGACAGACAGTCAGCTGGACGGTCCACTCACCTCTCCTTTCCCAGACAGACAGTCAGCTGGACGGTCCACTCACCTCTCCTTTCCCAGACAGACAGTCAGCTGGACGGTCCACTCACCTCTCCTTTCCCAGACAGTCAGCTGGACTGTCCACTCACCTCTCCTTTCCCAGACAGTCAGCTGGACGGTCCACTCACCTCTCCTTTCCCAGACAGTCAGCTGGACGGTCCACTCACCTCTCCTTTCCCAGACAGTCAGCTGGACGGTCCACTCACCTCTCCTTTCCCAGACAGACAGTCAGCTGGACGGTCCACTCACCTCTCCTTTCCCAGACAGTCAGTCAGCTGGACGGTCCACTCACCTCTCCTTTCCCAGACAGTCAGTCAGCTGGACGGTCCACTCACCTCTCCTTTCCCAGTCAGTCAGCTGGACGGTCCACTCACCTCTCCTTTCCCAGACAGTCAGTCAGCTGGACGGTCCACTCACCTCTCCTTTCCCAGACAGTCAGCTGGACGGTCCACTCACCTCTCCTTTCCCAGACAGACAGACAGTCAAGCTGGACGGTCCACTCACCTCTCCTTTCCCAGGACAGACAGTCAGCTGGACGGTCCCCCACTCACCTCTCCTTTCCCAGTCAGTCAGTCAGCTGGACTGTCCACTCACCTCTCCTTTCCCAGACAGTCAGCTGGACGGTCCCACTCACCTCTCCTTTCCCAGACAGTCAGTCAGCTGGACGGTCCACTCAACCTCTCCTTTCCCAGTTCAGTCAGCTGGACGGCCCACTCACCTCTCCTTTCCCAGGACAGTCAGCTGGGACGGTTCCACTCACCTCTCCTTTCCCAGTCAGTCAGCTGGACGGCCCACTCACCTCTCCTTTCCCAGACAGTCAGCTGGACGGTCCACTCACCTCTCCTTTCCCAGACAGTCAGTCAGCTGGACGGCCCACTCACCTCTCCTTTCCCAGACAGTCAGCTGGACGGTCCACTCACCTCTCCTTTCCCGACAGACAGTCAGCTGGACGGTCCACTCACTCTCCTTTCCCAGTCAGTCAGCTGGACGGTCCACTCACCTCTCCTTTCCCAGTCAGTCAGCTGGACGGTCCACTCACCTCTCCTTTCCCAGTCAGTCAGCTGGACTGTCCACTCACCTCTCCTTTCCCAGTCAGTCAGCTGGACGGTCCACTCACCTCTCCTTTCCCAGACAGACAGTCAACTGGACGGTCCACTCACCTCTCCTTTCCCAGACAGACAGTCAGCTGGACGGTCCACTCACCTCTCCTTTCCCAGTCAGTCAGCTGGACGGTCCACTCACCTCTCCTTTCCCAGACAGACAGTCAACTGGACGGTCCACTCACCTCTCCTTTCCCAGACAGACAGTCAACTGGACGGTCCACTCACCTCTCCTTTCCCAGACAGACAGTCAGCTGGACGGTCCACTCACCTCTCCTTTCCCAGACAGACAGTCAGCTGGACGGTCCACTCACCTCTCCTTTCCCAGACAGTCAGCTGGACTGTCCACTCACCTCTCCTTTCCCAGTCAGTCAGCTGGACTGTCCACTCACCTCTCCTTTCCCAGAAAGACTGTCAGCTGGACGGTCCACTCACCTCTCCTTTCCCAGACAGTCAGTCAGCTGGACGGTCCTCTCACCTCTCCTTTCCCAGTCAGACAGTCAGCTGGACGGTCCACTCACCTCTCCTTTCCCAGTCAGTCAGCTGGACGGTCCACTCACCTCTCCTTTCCCAGACAGTCAGCTGGACGGTCCACTCACCTCTCCTTTCCCAGTCAGTCAGCTGGACGGTCCACTCACCTCTCCTTTCCCAGACAGACAGTCAGCTGGACGGTCCACTCACCTCTCCTTTCCCAGACAGTCAGCTGGACGGTCCACTCACCTCTCCTTTCCCAGTCAGTCAGCTGGACGGTCCACTCACCTCTCCTTTCCCAGACAGTCAGTCAGCTGGACGGTCCACTCACCTCTCCTTTCCCAGACAGTCAGTCAGCTGGACGGTCCACTCACCTCTCCTTTCCCAGACAGTCAGCTGGACGGTCCACTCACCTCTCCTTTCCCAGACAGTCAGCTGGACGGTCCACTCACCTCTCCTTTCTCAGACAGTCAGTCAGCTGGACGGTCCACTCACCTCTCCTTCCCAGACAGTCAGCTGGACGGTCCACTCACCTCTCCTTTCCCAGACAGTCAGCTGGACGGTCCTCTCACCTCTCCTTTCCCAGACAGTCAGTCAGCTGGACGGTCCACTCACCTCTCCTTTCCCAGACAGTCAGCTGGACGGTCCACTCACCTCTCCTTTCCCAGACAGTCAGTCAGCTGGACGGTCCACTCACTCTCCTTTCCCAGACAGACAGTCAGCTGGACGGTCCACTCACCTCTCCTTTCCCAGACAGATAGACAGTCAGCTGGACGGTCCACTCACCTCTCCTTTCCCAGACAGACAGTCAGCTGGACGGTCCACTCACCTCTCCTTTCCCAGACAGACAGTCAGCTGGACGGTCCACTCACCTCTCCTTTCCCAGACAGACAGTCAGCTGGACGGTCCACTCACCTCTCCTTTCCCAGACAGACAGTCAGCTGGACGTGCCACTCACCTCTCCTTTCCCAGTCAGTCAGCTGGACGGTCCACTCACCTCTCCTTTCCCAGACAGGACAGTCAGTGGGACGGTCCACTCACCTTTCCTTTCCCAGAACAGTCAGTCAGACTGGATGGTCCACTCACCTCTCCTTTCCCCAGTTGTCAGTCAGCTGGACGGTCCACTCACCTCTCCTTCCCAGTCAGTCAGCTGGACGGTCACATCACCTCTCCTTTCCCAGTCAGTCAGCTGGACGGTCCACTCACCTCTCCTTTTCCCCAGGTCAGTCAGTCAGCTGGACGGTCCACTCACCTCTCCTTTCCCAGACAGTCAGTCAGCTGGACGGTCCCACTCACCTCTCCCTTCCCAGACAGACAGTCAGATGGGACGGTCCACTCACCTCTCCTTTCCCCAGACAGTCAGCTGGACGGTCCTCTCACCTCTCCTTTCCAGACAGACAGTCAGCTGGACGGTCACTCAACCTCTCCTTTCCCCAGACAGGACAGTCAGTGGACGTCCACTCACCTCTCCTTTCCAAGTCAAGTCAGTCAGCTGGACGGTCCACTCAACCTCTCCTCCCGACAGACAGTCAGCGGACGTACACTCACCTCTCCTTTTCCAGGTCAGTCAGATGGACGGTCCAATCACTTCTCCTTTCTTCCAATCGGTATCTGTAGTGTTTTGGTTAGTGATGGTAAAGGACGTCCATTGTATCTGTATGTTTTGGTAGTGATGGTAACAGGAAGTCCTGTATCTGTTAATGTTTTTTGGTTAGTGATGGTAAAACAGGACGTCCTGTATCTGTATGTTTTGGTAGTGATGGTAAACAGGACGTCCTGTATCTGTATGTTTTGGTAGTGATGGTAAACAGGACGTCCTGTATCTGTATGTTTTGGTAGTGATGGTAAACAGGACGTCCTGTATCTGTATGTTTTGGTAGTGATGGTAACAGGACGTCCTGTATCTGTATGTTTTGGTAGTGATGGTAAACAGGACGTCCTGTATCTGTATGTTTTGGTAGTGATGGTAACAGGACGTCCTGTATCTGTATGTTTTGGTAGTGATGGTAACAGGACGTCCTGTATCTGTATGTTTTGGTAGTGATGGTAAACAGGACGTCCTGTATCTGTATGTTTTGGTAGTGATGGTAAACAGGACGTCCTGTATCTGTATGTTTTGGTAGTGATGGTAAACAGGACGTCCTGTATCTGTATGTTTTGGTAGTGATGGTAAACAGGACGTCCTGTATCTGTATGTTTTGGTAGTGATGGTAGACAGGACGTCCTGTATCTGTATGTTTTGGTAGTGATGGTAGACAGGACGTCCTGTATCTGTATGTTTTGGTAGTGATGGTAAACAGGACGTCCTGTATCTGTATGTTTTGGTAGTGATGGTAAACAGGACGTCCTGTATCTGTATGTTTTGGTAGTGATGGTAAACAGGACGTCCTGTATCTGTATGTTTTGGTAGTGATGGTAAACAGGACGTCCTGTATCTGTATGTTTTGGTAGTGATGTAAACACGACGTCCTGTATCTGTATGTTTTGGTAGTGATGGTAAACAGGACGTCCTGTATCTGTATGTTTTGGTAGTGATGGTAAACAGGACGTCCTGTATCTGTATGTTTTGGTAGTGATGGTAAACAGGACGTCCTGTATCTGTATGTTTTGGTAGTGATGGTAAACAGGACGTCCTGTATCTGTATGTTTTGGTAGTGATGGTAAACAGGACGGTTGTGTGTTCTGTTAGACTACCTACCTATCTAATTTTGAAGCAAACTTACTTTGATCATTATCTCAAATAGACAGTGCTTTCAAACACATAAATGTTTTTATGGTGTTAGTAGTGGTGGTGGGTTCCACTTTCAATGCAAACATATCATTAAATAGACAAAAGACAGCGCTTTCAAACATGTTTGAAAATGTTTTTGACTGTGAGGTGGTGTTCAAGGTGATGACAAGTTGAGATACGCTTCTTGTCTTGATCTTCAGTGACCGCTAATGACCCTTGAACTCATTGTAAAGCCTACTGATAGGCTGTGTATTGTGGAAATATACAGTGAGTGTACAAAACATTAAGAACACATTCCTAATATTGAGTTGAACCCACCCCTTTTGCCTTCAAAATAGCCTCAATTTGTCGGGGCATGGACTCTACAAGGTGTCAAAAGTGTTCCACAGGGATGCTGGCCCATGTAGACTCCAATGCTTCCCACAGTTGTGTCAAGTTGGCTGGTTGTCCTTTGGGTGGTGGACCATTCTTGATACACACTGTGGAGTGTAAAAACCCAGTAGCGTTGCAGTTTTTGACACACTCAAACCAGTGCACCTGGCACCTAATACCATACCCTGTTCAAAGGCACTTCAATCTTTTGTCTTGCCCATTCACCCTCTGAATAGCACACATACACAATCCATGTCTCAAGGCTTAAAAATCGTTATTTAACCTGTCTCCTCCCCTTCATCTACACTGATTGAAGTGGATTTAACAGGTGACATCAATAAGGGATCATAGTTTTCACCTGGATTCACCTGGTTGGTCTATGTCATGGAAAGAGCAGGTGTTCCTAATGATCTGTCCACTCAATGTATATACAGTACATTGGGAAAGGATTCAGACCCCTTGACTTTCTCCACATTTTGTTATGTTACAGCATTATTCTAAAATTGATTAAATTGTTTTACCCCCTCATCAATCTACACACAATACCCCATAATGACAAAGCAAAAACAGGTTTTTAGTCATTTTTGCAAATGTATTACAAATATAAAACTGAAATATTACATTTACATAAATATTCAGACCCTTTACTCAGTACTTTGTTGAAGCACCTTTGGCAGTGATTACAGCCTCGAGTCTTCTTTGGTATGATGCTACAAGCTTGGCACACCTGTATTTGGGGAGTTTCTCCCATTCTTCTCTGCAGATCCTCTCAAGCTCTGTCGGGTTGGATGGGGAGCATCGCTGCACAGCTATTTTCAGGTCTCTCCAGAGATGTTAGATCGGGATCAAGTCCGGGCTCTGGCTGGGCCACTCAATGACATTCAGAGACTTGTCCCGAAGCCACTCCTGCATTGCCTTGGCTGTGTGCTTAGGGTCATTTTCCTGTTGGAAGGTGAACCTTCGCCCCAGTCTGAGGACCTGAGTGCTCTGGAGCAGGTTTTCATCAAGGATCTCTCTGTACTTTGCACCCTTCATCTTTCCCTCGATTCTGACTAGTCTCCCAGTCCCTGCCACTGAAAAAAAATCTCCACAGCATGATACTGCCACCACCGTGCTTCACCGTAGGCATGGTGCCAGGTTTCCACCGGACGTGATGCTTGGACGGATGTGACGTTTCTCATGGTCAGAGTCCTTTAGGTGCCTTTTGTCAAACTCCAAGTGGGCTGTCATGTGCCTTTTACTGAGGAGTGGCTTCCACTCTAACATAAAGGCCTGATTGGTGGAGTGCTGCAGAGATGGTTGTCCTTCTGGAAGGTTCTCCCATCTCCACAGAGGAACTCTGGAGCTCTGTCAGACTGACCATCTGGTTCTTGGTCACCTCTCTGACCAAGGCCCTTCTCCCCCGATTGCTCAGTTTGGCCGGGCGGCCAGCTCTAGGAAGAGTCTTGGTGGTTCCAAACTTCTTCCATTTAAGAATATTGGAGGCCGCTGTGTTCTTGGGGACCTTCAATGCTGCAGAAATGTTTATGTACCCTTCCCCAGATCTGTGCCTCGACACAATCCTGTCTTGGAGCTCTTGTATACATTTGCAAACATTTCTAAAAACCAGTTTTTGCTTTGTCATTATGGGGTATTGTGTGTAGATTGATGAGGATTTTTATTTATTTAATCAATTTTAGAATAAGGCTGTAACGTAACAAAATGTGGAAAAAGGGAACGGGTCTGAATACTTTCCGAATGCACTGTAGGTTGTGCATCACATCAAAGATCATTCTTACATATGCTTAACATAAGATGGATGACTTGATAATATCTCCTGTAGGTGTTTGTGGAAACTCTGGACAAATGCTTTGAGAACGTCTGCGAACTGGACCTCATTTTCCACATGGATAAGGTGAGTTCAAGTCCATGAAAATCATTTACAAGGTCAGCTTTGCCAAGTTTTGGCTTGTGACAGTCCTTGGTGCATCAGAGTAATGCACTTGGGTTTATAACACGGTGGCTGGTTTATAGATGCCATATTCGTCCAATATGATGAAAACCTACAGGAGGGAAAGACTGTCAGCAGAGGCAGCCTAAAGGAAACCCTGCTGTGTGGAGCCAGATACAGGGCCTATTCCTTATTATAGGACACTACTTTAGACCAGGGGCCTATTCCTTATTATAGGACACTACTTTAGACCAGGGGCCTATTCCGTATTATAGGACACTACTTTAGACCAGGGGCCTATTCCTTATTATAGGACACTACTTTAGACCGGGGGCCTATTCCTTATTATAGGACACTACTTTAGACCAGGGGGCCTATTCCTTATTATAGGACACTACTTTAGACCAGGGGGGCTATTCCTTATTATAGGACACTACTTTAGACCAGGGGCCTATTCCTTATTATAGGACACTACTTTAGACCAGGGGCCTATTCCTTATTATAGGACACTACTTTAGACCAGGGGGGCCTATTCCTTATTATAGGACACTACTTTAGACCGGGGGCCTATTCCTTATTATAGGACACTACTTTAGACCAGGGCCTATTCCTTATTATAGGACACTACTTTAGACCAGGGGCCTATTCCTTATTATAGGACACTACTTTAGACCAGGGGCCTATTCCTTATTATAGGACACTACTTTAGACCAGGGGCCTATTCCTTATTATAGGACACTACTTTAGACCGGGGGCCTATTCCTTATTATAGGACACTACTTTAGACCAGGGGGGCCTATTCCTTATTATAGGACACTACTTTAGACCGGGGGCCTATTCCTTATTATAGGACACTACTTTAGACCAGGGGGGCCTATTCCTTATTATAGGACACTACTTTAGACCAGGGGGCCTATTCCTTATTATAGGACACTACTTTAGACCAGGGGCCTATTCCTTATTATAGGACACTACTTTAGACCAGGGGCCTATTCCTTATTATAGGACACTACTTTAGACCAGGGGCCTATTCCTTATTATAGGACACTACTTTAGACCAGGGGCCTATTCCTTATTATAGGACACTACTTTAGACCAGGGGCCTATTCCTTATTATAGGACACTACTTTAGACCAGGGGGCCTATTCCTTATTATAGGACACTACTTTAGACCAGGGGCCTATTCCTT